CGCGGCCACCGTGGGGCGGGGGGCGCCTCTGAGGAAGGGGGGGGTGGGAGCCGCGGCCGCCCGACCCTCCCCGCCGGCGGCGGCTCCCGCTCGGGTAAGGGGGAGGCAGTGCGCGGGGCGAGGAGTTGGGGAGGGTGGAGATGAAGAGGAAAAAAATCGGGACGTACAAAGGCTGAGTTGCAGGCTGGGGGTGGGGGTGGGTTGTGGTTGGGGAGCGATAGGGTGAGGATCGGAGGCATTATCAGTGGGATCTATTGTTTCCTGGCACGTTGGGAGGAAAAACAAAGGGATTTATTATCATTACCCTGTAATTTTTTTTCTTTTTCTTTTTTTTTTAATGTGGCCAGGGAGCTCGGCTTTCCCCGTGCCACACGGGGATCCGCCTGGCAGCCGCCGGGAGCCGCAGCCAATGTGTTAGGACTTCAGGTGCTTTTTGGCACAAAGCTAGACTGCGACCTCCTACCATAGCGCTTGGCGTCACCTGCTTTCCCGGCCCTGCCCCGGGGCCGAGGGATTGCGTCCCGAACCAGGCTTGGGAACCGGCTGCCTCTCAAGTTGGTGTTATTTATGTTTGTCTTTTGTGAGGGCAGGTTTTGAGTCCCCCGGCGGCCCCATCTCCCCGCCCCCGCCCCCCTCGGGTTCGAATTGGCCGGGGGAGGGAGTGGGGTGGCTGTGTAGGGGGGAGGGGAGGGTGTGTAAGGCTTCAACAAATGTCAGGGGACAAGGAGATTGTCGATGCTTTACCAAAAAACAGGCACCACACTCTCAAGCCTTTCTTGTTTGTCTGCATGGGCCATGCATGCGTGCTGGGCCAGAAGCCGAGTTCGGAGGCGGTTTAAGTCGAAGTGTGTGCTTCCTCAGCTGATTGTGCGTGAGGGTGATATGGCTCGGCCTAATATTAAAAGACAAAACAAAGCAAAAAACAAAATGAAAAATCTTTAGGACTACATTGTCTGCGCCTCAGCAGATCTTGAAATATTTGATTAATGGCATATTGATATAAAATCCAGCTGTGGGCTAGTGGAGACCAGCAAGCATGTATTGCGTTGCGTTTTGAGCTTGTAGTAAGAGGCAAGTGGGAGTAAACAAATCAGGACTATGAAAAGACGTTTCATGTGATATTTGCTTTCTGATCGTCACGTTCTCCTGCATTTATTCCCATGATAGTCTACATCTCACTCTATAATTAATAGTATCCACTCTTAGGAAACTTCCAGGTATTAGATGTGAGTGCACTTAGAGTGAAACTTATTTTCATTTAAGAACTTTCTTCTGCTTGTTTTGGTCTGAAAATGTACTAATGTTGCTTTGGGAATGCTGTAAATGAGAATATTGGACCAGAGAGAGTTAAGCCTCTGTAGGCATCTTTTGGACTTTGGAAACATAGAATCCAAACTTTTAATTGTGCTTACACAGAAAGAATAAATTCTACCTGATGTGGAGCATCCCAAATGAAATTCATTTTTTTCTGAACAGTTTGATGATATCTTAAAGATCTGTGAACTGCTGGTTTCTTTGAAGGTCATTCACAAAAGCAACAGAAACTTAGGCTAACGTAGTGTACTTGTACTTATGTGTGATTTGTGTATTAGTGTGTGATTTCTCTAGGGATCTCCAAATTGTGTTTGAAACATTTTTGTTACCCAAGACCAATCAGAGGTATAACTTGGCTTTTAAATTCCCATTCCAATAAGTAATTTTTTTTTCTGTTTGACATATGGCTAAGCCACTTTCAAAAGTGTATTATTAATTGATGAAACTTAAGTTCAAATAAGTAAATGAATTTAGAAATTCATTCTTTTCTATTACAGATGAACCTCTAGTCTTGCTTTGAAAAAGCCATTTTGTGTAACTCTTGACTGAATAATTTCCTAATACACCTGTTGGGAGGATCACTGATACAGTATGCCATTTGAGAGGTACTTTTTCTTGACCAAATACTGGTGATTAGAGAAGAGAGGTGTTTTGTTTTTGTTTTTTGTTTTTTTGTTTTTTTTTTCCTGATCATTATGAACACTGGCTTTTCACCCCTGAAGTAAAAATGTTGAAAACCGAGTCTTCAGGTGAACGAACCACTCTCAGAAGTGCCTCTCCTCACAGGAATGCTTATAGAACTGAGTTCCAGGCACTGAAAAGTACCTTTGACAAACCCAAGTCAGATGGGGAACAAAAAACAAAAGAAGGTGAGGGCTCCCAGCAGAGCAGGGGGAGGAAATATGGCTCCAACGTCAACAGAATTAAAAATCTATTCATGCAGATGGGTATGGAACCCAATGAAAATGCTGCAGTCATTGCCAAAACAAGGGGGAAAGGTGGACCTTCGTCTCCGCAGAGAAGAATGAGGCCCAAAGAATTTCTGGAAAAAACAGATGGCTCAGTTGTTAAGTTGGAGTCCTCCGTTTCAGAACGAATCAGTAGATTTGACACAATGTACGATGGCCCTTCATATTCCAAGTTCACAGAAACTCGGAAGATGTTTGAGAGAAGTGTGCATGAATCAGGACAAAACAACCGCTATTCCCCAAAGAGAGAGAAACCTGGAGGGAGTGAACCTCAGGATGAATGGGGTGGCTCGAAGTCCAACAGAGGCAGTACCGATTCCTTGGACAGCCTTAGCTCCCGGACAGAGGCTGTCTCCCCAACTGTGAGTCAACTGAGTGCAGTATTTGAGAACACCGATTCCCCCAGTGCCATTGTTTCTGAGAAGGCAGAGAACAACGAGTACTCCGTGACTGGGCATTATCCCCTGAATCTACCATCTGTTACTGTTACAAATCTTGACACTTTTGGTCACCTTAAGGATTCTAATTCTTGGGCTCCTCCAAGCAAACACGGTGATGATGCAGAGGATGCTCAGAAGGGTCATACAACTCCAGTGCCAGAAGTGGCTTTGAAAAGTACCTCTCTAGCCCCAGTGCCCAGTAAAGAGACACAGCAGAGCAAGGACACCGAGGACTCCACATCTAACCAAGAGACTCCTGTCGGGATTGACAGAGACATTCCTGAAGAACCTTGTGCTGAAAATAAGGCAATGCCAGAGTCAGAAATCCCTTCACCACAAAATGAACCTTTAGAAGACGCCGAAGCTAATTTAGTTGGGAGTGAGGCAGCAATGCATCAGAAGAAAGACCTTGCAGGTGGTGATTTTACCTCTGCTGCTGCTTCTGGATCCAGGTGTGGAAAGGAAGTACCTGAAGATTCAGATCATTTTGAGAGTACCCATGTTTACATGCACAGTGACTATAATGTATACAGGGTAAGATCCAGGTATAATTCAGACTGGGGAGAGACAGGCACTGAGCAGGATGAGCAGGAAGAGAGTGATGAAAACAATTATTATCAACCTGATATGGAATACTCGGAAATTGTTGGATTGCCAGAAGAAGAAGACATCCCAGCAAATAGGAAAATTAAGTTTAGTAGTGCTCCAATTAAGGTAAGTATGTTTTCTCAGTTTGCTTTTGAAGTTTTTTCTCAGTTTTTTTTTTTTTTTTTTAAGTATTTGGGCCTAAATGTATGTAGAATAGATTTGACAACTATAAGGAATTCACGGTTGTTGATATACACATGTTGTCAAGTGATTTTAGAAGTTTCGGAGGTGTCCACGTATTTCCTAATATGCTTTATGGTTGCTTAAACCAGTATTGACTAATAGTAAAGTTGAAGAAGTTTGGGGATTGTGAGATACATCCCAATGGACTGGAGTATGAATAATATGAACACTGAAAACCAGGAGTGTTAGTTTGAAATAGAATTACCTCTTTAACTAGTTTCACTAAAAGTCCCCATAAGTAATAAAATTTTCTGAATCTGGACACTCTAGGTTATGAGGCATAATGTACAATGAGAGAGGTATGGTTGACCTTGAAATAATAGTCTTTATTTAATTGCTTAAAAAATCCGAGTTCTCTCTTACTTAAGTGTAAGTGGATTGTGAAGAATGTAGGAACTTAACTTTTTTTCTTTTTTGTATTGCTCCTTAGTAGTGAAAGTTTGATTCATGGAAATGTCTTAGCGGACTTAAATACTTTAATTGGAAAGCTGTGACTGTGAGTAGCTTTGAGTTCAGAATTTGTGATGTAGTCCTGAAATGAAATTTTATGAAAGGAAATTAAATTGATTTGTCATTCGCATATATGTTTTGACCTCTTAAAAGCTGGATAAATGCCATTTGAATTCAGATGCTCTATTCTAATGACTTCATTTAGTTAACATTTGGTGTAGAAGAAATAACACAATGTACATCAGTGGCGGGTGGTGAAACATTATTAGCTGATAATGGCGGGAGGGGCAGGAGGTGGTGGGTGCTCTCCTGGAGTGCTTTTTCAAAGTGTACTTGCCCATCAGCCTCTGTGCTAAGATCTGGCATGCCCTCCTAGGGGAATCTGAAGGGTTGTGGTGGTAGAATGTGTAGTTTGAAACCACTTTCTAGGGACTCCTGGCTTGTCCAGTGTGTATATATGATAGACTTGGAATTTGATATGGTATCTTTTAAAAGAATCTGAAATCACTGTCTATTGTTATTTCCACCTTTTGAAACTTCCATATAAGGCTGTAAGAGAGATAATTTACAAAGCAAAGAGAAATTTGATTTTGCTTTAATTATGAAATACTAATTTGAAATAAAGTAGTAATCTATGAAATTATTTATAGGTGTTAGTAGGCAGACTTTCATTTCATTAGTGTAGGACAAAAGTTCTGGATCAGAATGGGCCATGCCAAGTTACACTATGTTTAAAATAACTAGAGATGTGAGTGTGGTTTCTGAGTAAGCTAAGTTTCTTTGCTGTGTTTTCCCACTTTCCTTTGTGAACCTCTCCTCTCTATTCCCCTCCACCCCCACCCCCCATTCTTAGGCTCTCTCTTTAGAGGTGTCTTTCCTTCAGGCCTACCCAGAGAGCTCCTTAATTTCACCATGCATGTTCCCTGTCCAAGTGCTTTCCTTTGAACATCATCTTTCTACCCCTTAGGAAGAAAGCAATAAGATTAAATTGTTTCACATTGAGCAAGGCAGGAATAACTGAAATGAACTCTTCAAGGAGTTTGTTAAAACCAGTGACTAACTCCCTAATGGGGGAATAGCAGCTTACAAAAGTTTATCAAGTAGAACACTACCCACTCAACCAAATGGGGCACCAGCGTTGTATTTGGGTCCCGTGCTGCACAAAATATAACGCACGGTGTTGGGTTTAATGCATTTTAAAGGATTTCTCATTGAAATATGGCTGTTCATTGGTGAACAAACCAGGTTTGGAGTATGATATTCTGAAATTCAAGTGATTTTTTTCCTGCTATTGCTTATAACAGAAAGCATTTTGCCTTTTAATTTTCATATAATAAACTATTTTATATAATAAAGAATGAAATAGAGTGCATACATATAAGTTGTAACACATTTTATCAAGAACATCAAGCATAAGGTTTGTGAAACAAAGATAATGCACCAGGTTTTATGGGCAGTTAACAGTACTAGTTGGAGTGGATTAAGTTTGCAAACAGAAGATTCATTCTTAGCCCTTTGTAATGAATAAGACAATTACTCTTTCTTGTTCTCATTGTTTAACATGTAAGTGGATTCACTTGGAAATTTTGAGAACTACTTTTCTACTGGTGCTGGTGATGGTAGTGTTTAGATTATTCTCCAATTAGGATTTTTGCCTCAGAGGGTGGTAATAATGAAATTCAGCAAGTATTTATTGAAAGCTTATCATGTGTCTGTGCTCATGCTGTTAGATGTAGAAGACACAAATCTATAATGTTACCTCTTTCCTGTGTGAGCTGATGAAGTCAGTTCTTCAACAGTTGGTATTTAAAACCCATGTAAAAAGTCTGAAAACCTGTGCTGAAAAGTCTAATGTCCTCTGAGGACTGTAACTGTCCTTGGCTGTACTAAATGCATGCATTGAATAGGATTTGATAGACCATTTGGAAGGGAATATGCTGAGCCATTCCCTATGTATGTTTTCTTATTCTTTTTGTAGAGATTCCCTTGTGGAATGGGAGATTATGATTTCCAACCTGAATCTTTTCTTTTGAAATTTAAACATATCCCTCTTTCAGCAACCATAGGTTACATACTCTTTATAGAAATGATCTCTAGAACTTTTACATTCTTTTCCTGATATTCTCATCCTATTCTTCACTAGAGTAAATATTCTCAACACTTTTAGACTTCCGTTTTACATCTTGTTTATGATCTTTGTGTGTGTGTGACCATTTCCTCAGTTTTTATTTCAGTTCTTCTGTAGATGTTTTAAATAGATACTTTCCTAAGATGTCTTAAATCTGGACCTAGAAAAGCATCAAAATGATATCTGATCTTTTCTGTGTAGCATATTACTTATACATAATTGTTGGTGACATTTAGAAATGGATTGTTTCTTAGTGGATAGGTTGGCATGTTTCACAGTGTTGTGGAAAATTAGACTGGAATTGATTAATAATGGAAAATATAAAATCCAAGTTTGAGATACGGAATGAGAGAGTGTTATGAACCATGCTAATTTGAGATCTGGAATTAGCCTTCATTCTCAGGAATTTCTCAAAACCAAGAGATTGAATTAATTAGATTTGCTTTAAATGAATCCAGGCGAGAAGGGGTGATATTTTTCATTATTGTTTTCTATTAATTTGGAACATTTACTGAGCCCTTACTATGTGTGGGGAACAGTGCAATATACAATAAAATGTAATAAATACATAAAATGACTGGAGCCGATCAGGTCAGGAACTGCTGGGAGGTGGGGAGTGGATAGCCCGTTAAGGATGCTTCTCAGGCTATTCTGCTGAACTGTTCTTGGATTCTCTTTCTAAGGTCCCTGTAACCTTTTTAAGGCAGTCATAACCCTTTCTCTGTTTCTGGGACCCTTATGTCCTTTGGATAGATGTTCTTGAAACATAGCATAGAAGAAAAAGGGTATTTTCCTAATTCCCTTAGCAAGAAGGGGATTGCAGGGTTAATGTTAAGTTATGTTCTGCTGTATTTTTCTGAGTGTTTTCTCCAACTGTATGGAGCTTTACAGAGCTGGGGTTCAAAGGAGAATCACCAAGGGCAGCAGTGCTTCTCTAAATCTTACATGATACTTGTTGAAAGTGGGTCCCTTAGCATTCTCTTTCTCTTTTGGGGCTCTGAGTTGGTACACAGGGCATATATGAGACCTTTTATTCGGGATGGTGTTCAGAGTATAGTTCTGAGACCCAAATTTCTGTCGTTCTCTTTCTTCAGATAGTCTTGCTCAGTGCTCTTAAACTTTAATATGCTCATGAATCACCTGGGGATCTTTTAAAATGCAGATTTCTGATTCAGTAGGTATTTTGGGGGAAATCACCTTGATGCAAAGATTAGCCTCCAGGTAGACCATCGGCTTTCCCACGGGTTATGGAATAGGCTCAGCAAGTTAAATGTTTGAATCACAGTATTTATCAAATCAGTTTAAACAGCCAGAAGCAAGAGGAAAGCCATGGGGAAAGTTAACACAGCTAAGGTGCAAAGGTTGGAAGGACCACACGACCTACGACCTGAGGCCCGGGTATGCGATATTCCTATGTCCCAACCTTCTCGCTTTCACATCACCCTTCCCATTGAGGGTGCGGTTATGAGGACCACAGCTGATTTTGAGCAAGGGCTCCAGATACTAATAATCCCCTCAGCTCATGATATCATGGTATTTGCTCTACAGACGAGAGAGGGTACAAGCACACTTACATACAGCTGTAGCTTTGCCAGTTTCCCTGGGTTTTCTTTGTGTTTGTTGGGACAGGCACCTGCGGGTCTGGACTAAGACCAGGCTGGGCGTCCTCGGTGGGTGGCTGATACAGAGATGGCGTGTCTGGCAGTCTAGAGATGGCACGATGATGACTTGGTCATTCCATCCTTTTCTTTTCTACAAGTGAACCTCTTGTTTGTTCCATCATATTTTCTATTTTGGAATGTCTTACAGCTTACTAACTTACCTATTTTTAACATATCTTAAGAACTTGGCCTTCGTTTTAGAAACTTATAAGCTCTTATTATCTATATCTAATTGAGCCTCGGAGCGTTGCCTTTACCTCCTAAGCTGTTAGCTTACTTACCATTAGTGACCATCACTTACGAGTTTCATCCATTCATTTGTTTTCTTGACCTTTATAACAGAATTTAATATTCTTCAATAATAGAGCAAATTCACAAACAGTAGGTCTCAGGTGAGATCGTGTATTCCTAAAAAGATCTCAAGTGGGTGCTGAGGCTGCTGGTCAACAGATCGCTGTTTGGAATATGATTGTGAAGTACAGTTTTCTCACTTCTGAAAGGAGCTGGTCACAAAATGTTGGGGAAGCTCCTTTAACACGTTCTTTCCAGATTGGTCTTCTGTAGCTGGTTGTGTGGCATTGTGTTCTTGGAAGCTGACACAGGTGTAAAGTTGTAATGTGCATGATGGTTGTGGATACAAGAGT